GCCGAAAAAAACTTTCGCCTTTGACTAAGTAACGTTGATGTAAGCATTCCATGGAGTGCTACGTATGTTCATGCTCATGGGGGATTGACTTTAATTGTTTTAATTATGTGAGGTTAGGGGCAACTAGTTCTCTCCTCATGACCAGATTATGGACCTTTCGATCTGTCTATGGATCTTTCGTTCCGAAGAATTTATGAAGTTGACGAAGAAACTGTATGCTCGACCACATTTTCTCTCGTTTTTCAACCTATCGTATGAATTTGTATCAAATTCATTTCAGCAGGCTGTATTCCGAATTCGAGAGGTTTATAGACTCTCCATAGGAGGAATTACATAAAAAGTCTATGAACTTCTCGTATTCGGAATACAGTAGTCTGGAGAGTGATAATCTCCTGACATAATTCAGAATTATTCCCCATGAAAAAAAATCACTATGTTGAAGTCGTAGTTATAAGTTCTCTATTCGCCGGGAAAAAAACTCTCAAACCCTTCTTCGAGACACTTCAGTATTAACATATATGTTAATATGTCTGCTACTCACCATCAGAAATAGCTGCTGGGAATGCAAGATTAACTGATTACTGGAAAAGAGTAGAAACGGTGATTGTTGCTGAGCTTGTTCCACACCTGATAAGCTTCTTTGTGGCGCTTCTCTGAAACAGCATCTTCTCAGCCCCCTTTGCGCCTGGTCCGTGTTAATTTTGACATAAAACCGGCCAACTTTTAAAGCCGGGTCGGTTGTTTTCAATAGTAATGCCCTTTTCAACTGTCAAAAACAGTTAGGACGTCTAGAGAGAAAGTACTGTTTTACAGACAAAGCGCAATGACCGACCACAGAACCGAGATCAATATTCAGTAGTTTTATGCCGTTAACTCAATGCGACTATAGTCCCGGATGATCGTTCCAATAACGACTTCTTTGGGTAATTACCTGTTTCCTTCTCCATGCCTAGTCAGAGACTAAAAGCAGCAGATGGCAATGTCAAAGAGCTGTAAAGCGCCCTCTTTACAATAGGCTAGGAAGAAAGTCCAAGAAATCGGTATTCCTAGTCTCACTCAACTCCATTCCTACAGGTTCAATTCTGCGAGTAACTCGAAACCGGTCCCAGAGTTGTGACTGTCACAGTTCTTTGAGAGTTCTTTTGCTCCTGCTACCCAGAATGAGTCTTCATCGCAACTTGTCTCACACAAGCCACCTGCTCGTTCCTATAAGACCATAGGATAACATCTTTTTGCTCCGATAAATCCTGAGGTAGAATTGAAGGCCAGGTTGGAATAGAGGTATAGAACTGGTATTCCACTCCTACTGTTCACATTCAAACAATACCACATGGCCCCACTCTACCCCCGCCTATTCTTCCCTGTCGATCATGAAATTGGGGTGGGTGGGTTGGATGAGCACATTCACGTGAACTGTACCCCTCCGAGGACATTTTGAACAACGTCTTCTTTCCGGATCTTTTGAAACCACCATCACGTGAGGACTGATGAAGTGCGGTCGTCCTTACAAGTTACCCTGCCGTCAACAGTGTCCACGTCATTCTCCTTCCCTACTCTAATTGTAAGACAGGGTGCTCAAGTTACCTGATGATGTTCGATTGTGCGTGAGTACTTAGGCCGAACCAAGCAGCTGCTCACTGTAAGTGTTAGACAATAAGGTGCTCCTACTACGCCTCTCCTTTCATACTTCCCAGAAAGCATGGTATCCTATTTTGTTGGAGTGTTTTCGGCTGTTGCATTGGTCTTTAGCCACATTTAAACAATCACTGGGATAGAGACCAATTTTTCATCTTTGCTTCTTTTTGCTATTCATAAGCAAGGTTAATTAAGGCTGTTTGTGGGGATGGGTCGTGAAGATCATCCTTTTTTGGAATGACAATCGTTCTGTTCATCTGTTCAGGCCATGGACTTAGCTGCTCTGCTATGGGCAATGCTTGAAATGTATCTGCTTACCAAAAAAATCTTTCCCAGATGTTTGCAAACACAAATAGCGATTACTCAATATTAGCCTGGGGGTTTTTGCAAACAAAATCTTGGGACTGTTCTCAATCAGTTGGCATAAAAGGCGAAATACTTATGCAAAAAAACCATTCGAGTTTGACACTTATTTGAAGAAGTTCTATCATCTTAAGCCCGTGATCATTCTTTATAGACTTTTATATTCATTCTTTTAGGAAAAATAAGCTATACCGTTTTTGGGTGATTCTTCATTGGCTGTACTCTGCGGGTTTCCACTTATTAATATGTACATCATTTCATGGCTTAAAATGGTTGTTTCTTTCGCTTCACATCTGTCCAAAGGGTCGAATATTCTTACCTATAGGTATCACTTTTGACAGTTTTCCTTTTATTAAATATTGGCCTATAAAAGGAAGTTTTGGGGATTTGCAAAAACTACTACCTACTGCTACCATGGATTTTCACCATGATTTCAGCAGAGCACTTCTCTTAAGGAATATTTCCTTGATAGTTTTAGCCACGAATTTAAGTCAGCTTGTGATTTCTAGAATAGAATAGATGAAGCTGTCTCTGCGCAAACTAGGACGTTCGATGTATCATCTCCTCTGTTTACGCCTTTTTTTTCAAAATCGATCTATGCGTTGTCAACATAGTGTCGCGGAGCTCATAACACAGGGGACCTCATAGTGAAAGGATCTAATGGGGTAATACTGGATTTACGATGCAGATTGATG